GGAACGGGGCTTTACGGGGGGTTTTATGGGGTAAAAATTGGTTTTTCTCACTTTTGACCCTCAAAACACAAAATTTCCCAATTTCTCTTTAGACCTTTTTAAAGAGCTTAAAAAAACAATTAATTTAGTATATAAAAGTATTTTTGTTTGGTTAATAGTAACGGAGAAAATTAACAAAATTGTAAATTTAAAATTCCCATGTTATTCTTATGGAGAATATTGTAAAATGTTGTAGTTTGCTTGTTTATGGATATATTTTGTATTTTGATCAAATTTATTTATTTTGTACTAAGCCATCAATATTTTACAAAAAAACACACTTTATTAGTTTCCTTGTAGCAGCAAACCTAGGTACTCGTTAAATCTAATTTTATTAAAATATATTTAATTGAAAATCAATTAAGACAAATGGAAATTCGCTTAGTCGGCAGGTTTGCTGCGGCGGGGGTATTTATGTTTTATTTAGAGCTGTAAGTATTTAGAATTTGATTTCTTATGTGGTATTGTTTTAATAAAAAGGAGGCATAAGGGCGGCTATGGGGATGGTGGAGTCCATATTAAATAATAAAGTTATTTTTTACTCTAGATAAATACTTAGTCCCGGGGGACCGAGCTATGGCTGGGTATAGATTATTTCGATTGTAAAATCAATATAAGGGAAACTTACGTTTTATGTACAGTAGAACCTCGCTAATCCGACCTCCGATGGTCCGACTTCTCGCTTGGTCCGACCGTGCAGCCAACACAATATAGGCTTCCGCTAACATAACCTCATTGTCAAAGAAAAATACCTAGAAAACTTTATAAATTGTTGTTTTTTGTCTAATGTGTTGAAATTCGTTGTTTATTTAACCATATCTGCCCATTATTAATATTAAGTAAGCACCCACATTGTTTTTGAAAAATCACAGTTCATTTGACAAAAATAAAATGGAAGCAAAACAAATGAATGTCGATCAAAGCTTCAAAGTCAAGCTATCCGTTTGCACTGACAATCGTCTGCTCCTTAGGCCTACACATGACACATCTGTCTGCTGTGCGCTTGCTATGTCACAGCAGCGCACAATATATAATATAAAATATATATATATATAAGTATATATAATGTATATATAAGTATATATATAGCGCACTAGTATATATGCTTACTATATAGGCCTACTATGTATAGGGGAGAAAGTAAAAGAGTGCATACAAATTTTAAAATCTACGCTTAAATTAGAGTGAAACATTGAGTTGACGCCAGTGCACTCAAACGTCATCGACACGAAACACTCATCAACATCTATTTTCCCCTATATCGAGTAATCTTCTGTGTAATCTTTGCTCAATAGTTACAACTAATATTCTTCCCTTTGTTCTGTATTATTATAGTTGGCTAGTACTGTGGATGTCTTGTTATAAACACATGTTACATTACAACAAAAATCTTTTGTTTACTTTTTCCTTGTTATTTTGTTCAACCAACATAGTTACTTATCAACCCATAAGATCAATGTTCTTTGTCCAAACTAAGCTCATAAGATATCGTTGTAATCAGCATCAAATGTACTATATTTTACATGTCTTGCAAATATTTTGTAAAATTAACGGTTTTCATGGTATTTGGCATCAAATATTTTAAAATACCGCCATTTTTAAACGGTTCTAGAGTTTTTAATCATATTTTGCACAAACATGTCAATAAGATAAAAATTTTCACAGAATTTCAAAGCTCAAGCAGTAAGGGAGTTATGAATGATTAAAAAAAAAATCACTTTCAGACAGATAGACTGAAAACGGAATGAGACGAATACACATGTTACAGTAGACCCCCTCTTAACCGACCCTAATGGGACCGGACCTAGGTCGGATAACTCAAAAGGTCGGATAAAACGGACAATCCCTAAAATCATAACATAATGAAGTGCTATTGATTTGGAATTATATTATCATTATTTTGAAATCATACTTGCATTATTTATAAAATAAACTACTCTTATCTCTTTTTTCGTATTGAGAAAAAGGTCACAAATAAACGCAAAACACGGTTAAGTCCAATAGGCCTAATTTCAGTGGAATATATTACAATACTAGGCAAGAGTCAATCAAATTCCTATTTTAATAACTTTAGTAGGTACTGTAATTTATTAATTGATGCTTTCCAAATCCATCGTAAAACAGTACAGAACTTTTTTCGAAATTAAAGATACAAGCAACCATTTTGTTACAAGACAGGACGTTTATTAATAGCCTCTCACTGGAGGCTCGAGGCACAAAAACTATCTTGACCTTGGAGTTGTTAACCCCCCTTCCCTACCCTCCCTACAAGTTGCGTTGTTTGTTTACTCCAGCGATAAGATAATCAGTTCTCAAATAATACATTTGCCACACAGATAACAAACAGATCAGATGCGCTCGAACTACGAACAAGGATGATGACAAACTGACAATAGGCTGTGCAGTAATCGTGGGCTGTGCTATATGTTTTGTGATCAACACAAAATAACTACTTATTCTTAGTCATATCCTGTGGAGATAAGCGTATGGTTCAGTTCTCAGCGCCCAGCGTGGGAGCGTAAATGCCGAGATTCCTAGAAAGCGGCGATTAAACCAAGCTGCTCTCAAAGTAAGGTCGGTTAAAACAAACTGTATTTTTTTACGATCGAAGGCGGATAATCCGATTATCGGTTAATACGAGGTCGGTTAAGAGGGGGTCTACTGTATATTACATTTTTTGTTTCTTTTGACATGCTGAATAACAAGACAAAGTTTGTTCATATGGTTGTAAGACACCATGTTTATAGTTCTAGTTCTAGTGAAATAGACAACATAGAACTATAGAAGCAAGGGCTCAAATGGTTTTTTTTTTTTCAAATAGTTTACCTCCTAAATCAAAGAAACGCTACAAAAGAAGTTGGTGTGAAATATGTGTATTGAGTATCCTTCACTGATAATAATATCAAAGAGGTACTAATAATAATTTTTAATAGTAATTTTATTTGTTTTGATTTAATTGTTGTAAATAAATTGTTTCAATAGTCTACTTGTACCTAAAACAATACTAATGGTAAGAATTCTGCTAGCAGGACCTATTCACAAAAAAAAAGTTATAGAAACAAATAACAGAATATAAGTGTAATGAAGTTTCACAAACTCCCAATTATCTGAGCCCCAGTCATCTGAGCCCCGGTTATCCGAGCCCTCAGGTTATCTGAGGTCTTTTTGGCCTAAATATTTATTTGGATTTTCAGTAGGATAACAATAATTACTTTATTGTAGTATGTTTCTATTTAAAGAAACGTAAAAATAGCAATTAACTTGCAATTTATTGAAACGAATACAGTACTTGGAATAACCATTACATATTATTTTAAAGTTAGAATGAAACGCAATAACCTTAAAAATTAAAATCTCATAGAACTAGGTTGGCCGGCTACCAATACCAAACTAAACTAGACGAGCCGGCAGTGTCAGTTAGTCTTCTGCATTTCTATTATTTAATGTAGATGATTGTGTCATAGAATTATAGATTAGGTCAAACTTAAAAAAATAATTTCATACCGTTTAACTAGAAAGATACACCTTAGTGTTTTGTTTTAAATAGTGTAGTGTGTGTTGGTTATCATAATTATAATAATAGGCTACTGTCTGAGTGTGTTTTAAAGTTGAAAAGTGTTAAACATGTTTGATGTGTCATTTTTTCTTTAACAATACTAAGTTTTTTTGTATAAAAGGTTAAATCTAAATCATATTATTATAATTTTTCATTCGCTATGTGTTGTTTAAAGATATATTTTACAAGTATTTGACTTCATAATAAGGTACCGAAACCCTAACCTCAAAATCTACGTGACCTCCGTGTTATCCGAGATTTTCGGTAACTGAGGTTGTCTCGGTCCCAACAACCTCGGGTAATCGGGAGTGTACTGTAAATAACAATCGTAGGTAAATTAGTGTAAGCAACTGACATAGTTAGCCTTTACAACACTTGTATACGTTTTGTTGTTGTCAAGACTATCTTCATGTGATCATTGCGTAAACTACTATCAAGATGTTAAGATTCTACTTAAATTTCTACATGTCTCGTCAAGACTAATTTTATGTGATTTTTGCGTAAAGGACTGTTTTGCCAGAAGCGGCTGGTGCGTATAATGCTCAGCGATGATCGCTCCGCATAAAACGCTGCCCACTGCTTTGCATTTGTTTCAGGTTAGTCTATTTTGCCAGAAGCGTTTATCGCTACAGCCGCCAGCGTCCGTAACTGAACCGCTAGCATCTATCCCTGACCACTGCTCCTGGAGCAGACGGAGACGCAGTCGCTAGTGTTTATTAGAAGAAGAAACACTTGTTTTGTTATTGAATGTCCTTATTTTTTAAGTCGTGTTTGTTGATCACAATCAAAGTAGAAATTTCATAGCGGAGATGATAAATTGATTGAATCCATTTCAGCAAACCCCACCTTTCTAGAATGGAGGTGATTTTCTACTCTTTAAAAACATAAATTGCACTTCTTCCCTGGATTTGCACCATTTCTAAAATCTTCATCGTAAAATTCCTCGGCTAACAAATACTTCACTATTTGCTTTTTACAGCTCATTTCACAAACAGCACTCCTTTTGCCGCCAAAGAAAACCACTCTAAGATCAAATAATCACAAGGAACGGGCGTTTCTGGCAAAATAGCCCAGAGCGATAGACGCTGAGCAATTATTGCTCTATAGCGATCATCGATAAGCATCAGATACACCGGCCGCTCTTGGCAAAACAGGCCTTAAACTACTATTAAATTTTATTAAAGATGTCAACAGATCATGCCTTAAATCTCTACTTGTGTCGTCAAGACTATCTTTATGTGATCGTTGCTTAAACTACTATTAAAGATTATCAAAATGTTCTTTGAGTCTTTGTATTCAACTTTTGAGCTCTATGAGTGGTTATTTAATTTTTAGTTAAATACTCAGTGATAAGCATCAGTTACAAAACAAAAGCATAATCAAGAGATGATTGTTGATTTCCCAGTAAGGATCGGAGGAGGGATGTACATAACAGACTTGCAAGACGTGGCAGCTAAGGTACAGAAACTGGCTGATCTACAAAAGGAGGAGGAGGAAATGTTGGCTGACATTCCAGACGAGTTCCTAGATCCCATCATGTCTACATTGATGGCAGACCCTGTACAGCTACCTTCTAGCAGACAGATTGTGGATAGGAGCACCATTGCAAGGTAATCTACCTCTTTCTTTGAGTCCCAGCAATTATTAGTTGATTTAATTTATTATGCCCTTTATCGTGTTTCCACTTCATCTCATTGACATTTAAATTGTTTTAAAGAACAAGTTTTAAGAAGAAACATACACACAGAACTGTTGAGAATGAGTAAAAAATCACCTAAAAATGTCAAACTCTCGAAGAAATTTTTAAATCATTATCATCACTCACAATCTTGGCAAATGGTGGATATTTCCTTTAGGACTGTTTCACTGGCGTAGCCAGACGTTTACAGACGTATTCAGAAGTTGTTGCTGATGTAGCTATGCTGATGTAGTGCTGATGTGCTATTAATGTTATTTTCAAATAAGGGTGTTCACACTGGCATATTAATACGCGAGCGACGAGGGCTAGCTACAAGTAGCTCCCATCGCCAAATACGTGCATGTACACTAGCGCCCTGGGCTGTCACCTTTACCCTCCAACTTGTAATATAAACTTAACTTTTCAACATCAAAGTCGGTATTACACTGTTCTTTCATGTTCCTATATCAAATATATGGTGATATTATGGGGAAATTATTCTGTGAAATATTACATGTTTTATCATTTACACTGTTGGCGGTGCTGTGAACAGTCCTTAAGAGTCCTTGGAGGCTAGCGGCCATCTTGTATAATTTCAAACAGCTGCTGAAGAGTTATTTATTGTTCAAAAATATTTTTCAAACACCAAAGTGGTTATATTTTAAATATCTAGTATACTGTGAGATTAGTAATGTTCTTTGTAGTTTCTACAGGTGTGGTCTGTAGCTCTGTACACATCCACACATACAGACAGACACACACGTCATACGGGCCTTTGCACTCCCAAACACCAAATTGTGGCATCTTTCAAACTGCGGCCACCAGTAGATGAAGGAAGGTGGCAAAACCTTGTGTACATTGATATTTCAAATGAACACTTCATTTTAATATCAAACACTCTAGTTTTTAATAGTGGCACCTTGCCGCAATTCGGTTTATATCAACAGTGTGTGGACAGGATGCCACTAATGCGTTGTAGCGCTCGAGCAGTGTTTTTTGTCCCCCCCCCCCTACTTCTCTCGTGCGCTGTTGCCAGTTCTCCGTGCTATTTCCTTAATTCCGTTCTGTATTCATGTGCCATGTGCTTATGCCCTAGCTCATTGCCCGCACTTATCACTTTGTCTTTCTTACTTTAACGGGCATAATAATTTTGGCAATTGAATTTAAAGTCAATGAACCGAATAAAATGTCGGGAGGATTAAATAAAACTGTAGGCTATAATAATATTGTATTCTATGTCGTTAATATCTTCAACTTGATTGCAAGGAAACTACTTTCAATCATACCCTAGGGCTATGCCTCATAGATCTATAAAGCAGTTTTTTAGTTCAATCATTGGATATCAATCATAGACTAAAAAGATTTATATCCGATTTACATTTAATTGCGAAGCATTAATTTTGGCTTGAAACTGTCAGATATGAATGTGTTTGCGAAGGTTTTGTATTCCTATAATTGTTTTGCCTGCATATCTGAAAAAATGCACACTTGATATGCAAATTAACTGTTGTTCTGAATATAAGAAGGTTGCAACTGACTACAAGATTCCCGCCCGTAGAATGGGCACACAACTAGTATTTATTATTTTTATGTAACCCTAATTTTTGGTATTATTTTCATCAAGTTTACGTTGTTTCAATAATCGTATTCATTAATTCAAGCTTAGGGTTTATAGTATTTCAACTTGTTGAAATTACATAGGCCTATAGTACTTTATTGTCTAATGGCAAAATGCTCTGCCTCCTAGAAACTGTCAAACAGTTAATAGTTTAATATCGTATGTTTTTGGTTTTGTGTTATGTAAATAAGATCAATAATTAGAATGGTTTGAATAGATATAAAGTTTGTTTTTACCACACTATGATGTTTTTAGCTGTTTTACATACGTTAATTGGTGGCTGAAAGTTATGTTTTGCTGGCCATGCCAGCTGTCATCGTCATTTGGGGACCGAGCAGGTTTTTACATCCCTAGGGCCGCAAAATCAGCTGTCCGCTTACTTTCTCAAAACATGATTGCATATTAAATACACAATCAGTATCCATAGCATTGCAATAGATATGTTTATTTTCACCGCTGCCTAGCAACTATTTATTATTATTTTTTGCTGATTCCTCAAATTATTTCTCAACATTTCCTTAAAGTTGTAGTTGTGTTGACTATCAGTGTGCATTATTATTGTGGTGAATAGTGGTAATAGGGTATAGTGTGGTGAAAATTAGCGTTCGTACCATGTAGCTCTCGATCGTTTTACGTCCTCGACTTCGTCTCGATCTTGAAAATTATCTTGAGCGGACAAAACCTCATTTTCGGCCCTAGGTATGAAATATACGATTAAAGTTCAGCTATGACCTTATTTCAATGTTAAAAGGTACAATTAAAACTTAAAAGTAATAAAAGTAAAATTAAAACTACAAAAATAACAGAAGGTTATGGGCCCAGTCCCAGAAAAAGCTTGTAAGAATAACTAAAAATATTTATGTGAAAAGAAAACAGTAAAACGGGTAAGATGACATCAGTAAATAGTGATGAAATAGTGTGCATACAAAAACTGAAAGACTCTAGCACATTTCCTATGTGGCGTTTTGAGGTAAAAATATTATTCACTGCAAAGAAATTAACACATTCACTGCTAATGATATGTAATACTTTTATAAATGGCTAAAAAACATAAACATTAACATGATCATGTTAATTGAGTGACAATATATCTTTAATTAAATAAATTTTATACTATAAATTGTGGATTAAAATATATTATGTAATTATATACATCATGTATTATATATCTGCTAATATACTTATGACGCACATGTGCGTCATTAGCAGTGAACGTGTTAATGGACATAGTGGATGGAACAGAACTTTTGGCTGAATGTGGACCTGATACAGACCAAATTGAGAAATGGAAGACAAAAGTCCCATGTAATATTGAGAACAGTTGATAACAAAGTCAAAGTCCATCTCATGCCATGTAAAAAAGCAAAAGAAATGTATGGTACAATATTGAGAATAATGGAGAAGTTCTGTTGCGTAGCACTATCATGCGGTGGGTTACTAACTTTAGAGCAACGGCTTCTGCATTCAAAAGGAAGCTGACAGGTCGTCCAGAGTCAGATCGGAGGCCAGACAACTAACATTCTATAGAGTTCGTGCTGCTGTGGAAAACAGTCCTCATAGGCCCACTCGAAAACAAGGGGCTGCCTTGAACATTTCTGATCGCATTAATTAACCCAATTAATAGTTCATTAATTAACTATTATTAATTAACCCTATTAATTAATTATTAATTAACCCTACAGATTAATTAGAATAATAATCTTAACCTGTTTAGTTTCGTTAATTATCCATAATCACAACGGAACCTCTTTATGTCGACATGTAGGTCGACCTAATTGAATGAATGCACGGAACTGCCGCTGACTATGACTCAATCATTATTTTTTTCAAACGAGTCGATAATAACCACTGCACGAAACAGCTCAGGCAACCACTGCTCTATGACTACAAATACCCCCGCCGCATTAATCCTGCAGACTAAGGGAATTTCCATTTGTCTGATTGGATTTACACTAAAATGCCTCCTTAAAAATATCACATTTATTTCCTATTTAAATGGCATTAGTTTAACAAGTACTTAGGTTTGCTGCAACAGGGAGGGTAAAAAAGTGTTTTTTGTTGTAAAATGTTAATAGTTTAGTAAGAAATGAGTGTATTTTCCAAATTTGATCAAAATATGTTCATAATCAAGCAAACTCAACAGTTGACTTATTCTACAAGAATAACATGATAATTAAAATTAAAATTTTTTGGGAAATTTCTCCGCAATCATTAGGCGCATAATAACACTTCAATATACTAAATTATTTGTTTTTTTAAGCTCTACAAATTAGTTTGGAAAGTAATTGTGATTTTTTTTTTGTTTTTAGGGTCAAAAATGGGGAAAATATTTTTACACCATAAAACCCCCCTTAAACCCCTGTTCCCATAGTCCAATCATGCTGGTTCGCGAACTCGTTAACGAAGAATTGCCTCCTTCACAAAAAAAAAAACGCTCAACTAAAAAATGCTTAAAGCTCGTAAGTTATTTTGTAAACTCGGCTGGACTACTAAATTTCTACTCACACACCCTTAAAGCAATGTTATTGTGATTCCAGACACTTGTTGAGTGACCAGAGTGATCCTTTCAACAGAGAGCCACTCACCATGGATATGCTGATTCCTGCGACAGAGTTGAAAGACCAGATCGATGCTTGGATAGCTCAGAGGCGCAGCAACTCATGATTTTTTATTCGGTAATTTTATCATATTGTTTTGTTGTAAAAATCACAATATCGTTTACTTTATACAAATATTTATTTTATCTTGTAAAGTTAATAATAATTAAAAGTTGTTAAAATTATTACCGGTATTCCTTATTTATTTTTTTTTTAAGATTGTCCCAGACTTGTGGTTAAACGAGGTTTAACTTTTTACAATCCATGATATAAAGAGTAGGTTACAATAAGTTTTACTTTTTGGTCGTACACTGTTATACAATTACAACTAGAGATGTGTCAATTCTCAATACCAATATCGGTATCGGTATCGAGAATCCATTGTCAAAAGTCGATTCCGATACCCATACCTGTCACCACGCTCATGCGATCGAAAAATTACTGCCATTGCCACGATCGCACAAGACGTCAATGACGTTTCCGTGACCATGTGAAAGGATGATGATGTCTATACGGCTGCGGGAAATATTCATGATTTTGCTGCGATCCCGGAACACGATAATGACGTGTCCGTGACCGCGGAAGTCAATAGTGATGTCTGCATAGCCGCCTGTGATGATTAATGATTTCGCTGAGATCGCGCTAGACGACAGTGACGTTCCCGTGATCTCAGGAGTTGATGATGATGTCTTCATGGCCGTGGGAGATGTTCATGGTTTTCCACGATCGCTCAAGACTCTGATGATGTATCTGTGACCACGGGAGTCAGTGATGATGGGACACAGCCGCGGGAGATGTTCATGATTTTGCTGCGATCGTGCAAGACGACCATGATATTTCCGTGGCTGGGGGAGTTGAATGGAGTTGGGGGAGTCGCGGAAGGTTACAAGAATCTTGCCACGATCGGGGAAGACTATGATGACGTCTACCAGGACCACGGGATACGACAATGATGTCTACACGACTGCAGGAGATGATCAAGTAATTGCCTCGAGTTTGGCTTGACTGAAAGTTTTTGGCTGGCACACCTCTAGTTTTTAAAATTTTTTCTTTTGATTTTGTTGTTACATCCTCATTTACGTATCCTATAAAAGTTTTGCTAGCAAATCTGTAAATATACAAACTAACTGATGTTCTAAATATAAGAAGGTTTCAACTGACTACAAGATCCCGTGCGTAGAACGGGCACACAGCTAGTTTTTACTAAACTTGATAATGGCATATATTTTTTATAGGCTTATACGCTACCCAGTACCCCTGTATGGCCAATCACCGGAGAGTAGGTAGGCTAGATTTAATTTGGACTTATTATTCTTCAACACCAAGCTAACAGCTAAGATGAGGTTTGCTGTGATAACCTATCATTAGGTGATTTCCCTCAGATGTTAGGATGCTGCACAAATTACTCCAATGCATGGTAATAACAAATTATAATTTAATTCTTCTAAATAAACGAAAATCCTTTATAATCTTCCTTATAAATGATATCTAATATTACTATATCAGTAATTAAATGGCAACAGTCTTACTTGGTAAAATTCCTACGATTTGACTGGCTTAAATAGGCTGTGATTCCCAGTTCCTACGGACTATGACTGTTTCAAGTACAGTAGGCCTAATGCTTGAACTCGTCTGTAACAATTTCAAAAGAAATAATAACAGGTAAACTAAAGTAATACTAGTTTCACATAATTGAGGCAAACATAATTAATTTAAGGTGATTTTACAATTTATAAAATATTCTCAGAACATGTGCTTTTTCAATCCAAATGTAACATGAAAGTTGAGTATTTAATATTTGACATTTACAAAGTTATTAACTGACAGACAATCAAAAGAATATATATAATCATAGGTAAAAACATGGCAAACAATATTATTAACAATACAATACCACATAAATCAATTTTCTTATATTTAAAATGTTTTCTACTTACATTTTCACGAGTTTGTACAATTTTTAAGGGAATCAGCCAACTAAGAAAGATTTGAAGAAACAGCTCATTACAAAAATGACTTTAGTTAATTAACAGCTGTTCTCCAGTTCTGCCAACAAGGTGAAGTGTAATAACAGTCAAACTAGTTAGCCATTGATCATGATATTATATGTACATTATATATTCTGTGAATTAAAATAATTTAAATTTAATTAACATTTCCCTTACATCAGTATAAAATATCCCTCTACCTCTTTTTAAATTTGAATTATTTTAAAATTCAACTAAAATCTCTTTATACAAATCAAAGAAATAAACATACTAATCTTCACAACAAAATTTTCACTTATATCTACACAATTCAAATTCAAAATGAAAATAGAAAATATATATTTCCCATCTATGAACTTTTCTAATACTATGCGGTGTTCTTTGTGATGAGTATTTAGTACCAAAATTCACCGCGAGATAGCTATACAGAATAGGCACATTATTATTATCCAACATAGTTACAACAGAGGCTAATAGATGGCAGCATCAAACAAGATAATCAATTCCTTCAACATGCGTGCTACGGTGCTACCAACATTCAAAGCAATATCTTTATTGATAATCAATAATCATCTTTTTAAATAATTCAAAATGTTCATGTTTCTTGTCCTAACAAACTATTTACAAATACATTTAAATCATATACCCTGACAATTAAGAAGTTGTATAGCATTAAGATCATAGAACTCATTTTTCATTTGTTTTTATCAACATTCAAAATCTCAAATAAAAAACTCTGTGTTGGCCAACCTGGAAAATAGCATCATGTGATTTGTTTTGAAAGAGAAATCGCCATTTCAGTTTTGAATAGCTATGAGTGTGTTGTGTTTTGTGTGTCGTGTGATGTTTTACTTTAAATTTATAGTTTTGTGTTTTTTTTTGTGTGTGAAAGTGTCTAGTGTAGTTAAAGTGTTCCTTAAATCTAAAAGTAACTTACCATTCAAATCATACAAACATCCAAACCATTCGTGTCACAAACATTCACGGACTTATACAAACATATATTCTACGCATTTATACCCTACTGTTGTGCAATAACTTATTAGCGAACTCCATAAAATTTTCATTGCAAATCACTAGGCCTAACTTAACAATATTAAAATAACAAGAATTTCTGTCCCTACGATCTTAATTAATTATACATCAATCCTAATAATAACATAACTTTTCCCTTTCTACTAAAGTTGCATCCCTGGCATCATTCCATTCAAGTTTCAAGTATCTACAAGTTGCACTTTGCTTTCATGATAAAACCCGTGACCTAAATTATGACCTGAAATAACAAACAAACTAGGCCTACACTCATGGGTTGCATTGAACTAAACATTTACTTAACCTTTCTTACGAAACTTCTTGGCCTCATTGCTTAAGTAATGTGTACGAATAAGTACATGAGACTTTAACTTAAATGGATGTTTTGCTCTCTTAGGCGATAATCTCCACCAATGTCTGTCGAATTTCACACAGTTTCTTGAATTTCTCATGCTTTGGTTCAGGCTTTGCTTCATTTCTTCCATCGTTAGGTCGCTGCATATCAGACTCTTACTGTCCCACAGGTTGGTTAGCGCACAGCTGGGCTCATGGTCAAACATCAATTTGAAGTTGGATGTTTTGGTCGATGCATTGATGGCAGTTAGGCTGACTTGTAAATCGAGTTCTTTTTCCTTTTGATCTGGTACATCTTCTTCCTTTAACGTCACAGGAACATAGGTTTCTACGATTGATTCAAGTAGGCCTACCTTATTCATTGTGAATCCAACAGTTTTACACTCCACGATTTTTGTGCTCAAGGGCCGTTTTGTGTGATTGGGCCAGATGCCATACAAATGTTGATCAGTGATGTTAGCTTCATTTTTGCTTATTATTGCATTTCGTAAAAATGAAAGCAAGGGGGTCAATTCGAGTCCATTGCATTCTGTGATCTCACTGAGATAACCTTCAACAGGGTTAGGTAACTTGTATATAGGCATGGTGTGTATTTGCGTGTGATTAGGATTTGTAGGCATATTTAACATATTATTTTGCATGTTAGGGTTTTCATTTAGGTTAGTTTCAGTAGGCTCTATAGGTTTAATTGTAGTTTCTTGATTCGTCCCTTCCGGTGTAGAAGTATGATTTAGGTTAGGCCTATTTGGTTTTGTCGGGCTAGTTAACTGTTCAACTAAGTTTTCTTCCTCGACGATTGACTTATTTAAATCCTCTTCATATTGGTTCAATTCAGGTAAAGATACTTGGTTTTTGATTTCATCAAATTTGCTTTGCAGTTCTTGTAAATTGACCTTCAATTTGTCCAACTTACCGAAGCAGTTTGGACCTAACATACATGCGCTTATATTACTTATTCTAAGGTGCAGATGAGTACATAGAGCTGACATTCTTGCTATGTACAGGTTGCTTGGTTGGGTATCACACTGTTCTATAAGTAGCTGAAATCGATCTACCTTAATTTCTACGGTTTGAAATTCAGTACTTAAAGCTAATTTCCCAATAAGATTGTTCACATCTGGTTGAACCTGTAAAATAGATCTGAGCTGTTTCCTGAGTGCTTCTACGTTGTCAAAGGTAGAATCTTCTCCTCTACTTAAAATTTCATACTTAAGTTCATCTTTACTTAAATAATTTAAATTGAATTTTTCCATTGTCGGGAATTACTAGACCTATTCATACACAGAATAATTTTGGCAGTTTATATGAATCACTTGCTGAAACAAACTAATTTTATGGCAGAAGTTATGTCACTTCTCAAAATTTTCTTGTAGGCTAGCAAAGTTAACTTGAGGTTAGCAAAGTTCACCACAATGTCTTGGTTTAAATAAGCGCAAGGGTTGAAATTAATAATAAATCAGCAGAGTGGTGCACTTCTTTACGCTACCCAGTACCCCTGTATGGCCAATCACCGGAGAGTAGGTAGGCTAGATTTAATTTGGACTTATTATTCTTCAACACCAAGCTAACAGCTAAGATGAGGTTTGCTGTGATAACCTATCATTAGGTGATTTCCCTCAGATGTTAGGATGCTGCACAAATTACTCCAATGCATGGTAATAACAAATTATAATTTAATTCTTCTAAATAAACGAAAATCCTTTATAATCTTCCTTATAAATGATATCTAATATTACTATATCAGTAATTAAATGGCAACAGTCTTACTTGGTAAAATTCCTACGATTTGACTGGCTTAAATAGGCTGTGAT